CTAACCCTAAGGAAAGCTGTAAAATCTAGTCTTTCTGTTGGGTGGTTACGGGCTTAATTAAAATTCAGAGAATTACTAAAGTATAAAATGGATATTGGGAGACAACTGGCTATTTCTGCCATATCCCCTACAGTCTACAGCAGCCAGTGATCCCTTCAAGACATAAACCAGATCATATCACAGCCTTTCATAAAATCTTCCAATACAGTCCCATTACATTGAGTGTAAATCCATACCCCCTACTCTGACTTCAGAGGTCCTATGTGATTTAGCATCTAACCACTTCCCTGACCTCCCGATTGCTACTTATCGCTATACAGGCCTTCTTCCCATTACTTCAATATACCGAGCTACTTCTTGCCTTAGGGACTAGCTTATTCCTTTTTGCCTAGAAACCCTCTGCATGGCTGGTTCCTTCCTGTCATTCAGGTCTTGTGAAGACTTTCTGACTTCTAAAGAAGCTCTACATTTTCTCCTTCATCCTGTTTTATTGTATAAATATTTTAATTATTATTTATATCACTTGATATTTTGCTTATTATTTGTCAGTTCCTACTAGAAAGAGAAGCCTTGTCTGATTCATGGATGCATCCCTAGTGACTAAAAGATTGCCTAGCCCACGACAGCATTCAATAAAAATTAGATGAATACCTGAAATGACTAAGCATGATCCTGATTACGTCCTTTTTGTAACTATAACATAGTGCGGAGTCCTGCATCAACAAATGAGAAGCACACATCTTGGTTAACAGTAGTCACACAGATGACCCAGCTTCTTTTATCAAGCATAAATCAAGGGACAGGAAAAGAACTGATTTTTTTTCTTTTCTTTTCAGATACCCAGCCACTAAGCTTATTACTTTTCTCAAGCTGGCTCAATTTACCTCTGTTAGTAATTAAAGGTGCCTCTTTCCAATAAGCCCTCCTGTTTTAAGCACCAAAGCGGTAAATGAAAGGTTTGTAGAATCTATCACGAGATGCCAGATGTAACAAAGGCCTAACTCGTCTCCTTGCTCTTTACTACCTTCAATAATGAAAGCAGGATGGAGTTCGATGAGAGTCCAGTAGTACTTGAGGTAATAGTAACTTGTTTTTGATTAACCATGTTCCACAGAACAGAGTACCCAAATTTAATCAAACTCAATTTTACTTATTAGCTAAGAAAGAAGATGGACTTGGCAAACTTTGGGATCGCTCCAACCTACACATGCTAATCACACTGCCAACCACTTCAAGAATGAGTAACTATAGCAGAAGTGCTTTCTTCCCTGCAGGATGTGACAACCTCCTTGCTGGCCAAGTGCTCCTAAGAGGGCAGTTTTGTATGTTCTCATTTTATAGGAGTCTTCTTTAGACATTCACAGCAACAAATTTTAATGTGACCAGGTCACATTTTAAAGAGTGTTATCTTCTCACCCACTAGTGCTGTAATTTCCAACATATGAGTCCAGGCATATTTAAACCAACATGTTTTAATGTCATTTTGCCTAAGAAGAATTGAACTTTCAGATTACTACACCGCAATTTTGTGAGTGATATAACAAACATGTTAAAAAGTATCAGTTTTGGGGGACCACTATGATGAGTCTTTGAGAGGGTGAAGTCCCTCACCAATCACAGTAACCTTGCTCTTATCGATTACCTTTGTTTAGTTTTTAAGTATCCCCTCAGAAGGGTTCCTTTTGAGGAAGTTCTCCTGTTAAGGAAAGTTTGCAAACCAATGGACCTTAGGGTTCCCCTTTCCAACTCAAAAACCATAATAACTGGGATTTCATAGTGATTCAGGGACACATTTTCAAACATCAAGAATCACTCTGCAAGGAGCATAAATTTAAAAATGAGACTGGAAAAAAAAAACCAAAAACAAAACGATAGGAGACTGCTGAATGGGTGTAACCAAAAACAGAATTTGAGAGTTTAAAACTTTGGATATGAACTTTATTTATAGTTTATCTTTTTTCTAGCTTATTCCAAAAAGGCCTGAAAGTGATTTGAACTTGTTTTATAATGCACATATGTGTGTATTATAAGGCTGCATCTTTTTTCTACAGGTGAATTTGGTTTTAAAACAGATAAACTGGATTCTAGTTTGAGGATTTACTACAATAAAACCAGTGTTTAGTCAGACTTCAATTTTCAGCCTTAAAACATTTCTCCTATTCCTGGGGGAAAAAGTAAAAAAGTTAATTTTTAACAAGACTGTGCTTTAAAACTTCACTATTAAAGGGACAGCTTTCCAGTACCACACATATTTTTGTATAGTTTACTAATTTTTGGATGAGGCATGAGAATGATAGACAGGAGTTAATTTTTGTCAGTCTCAGGTAAGATTTTAAAAATATAGTGCCGAGGGATATTTATGCTGTTACACAACAAATTTTACAGCAGTTTATACAGTTTAAATATAACTGAGTCTAATAAGATTCTCCCAAAGTGTGATGACTGAATAAAACAGTAAAAAAATGGGTTTATAATACTAATGCAATATTTTCATGTGACTATGATGCTTACTTAACTTTGACAGAAAGTTAAATCAAATTTTGTAAGACCCAGAGGGATCATAAACAGTTAAAAGTGAATTATTCAGTTTTAACAACACATGAAAAGGTTTAAAAAGCCTAGTAGAGTTATCCTTTTGTTCTCACTGCTGAGAGTAAAACAAAAAGAATCAATGGCATCTTAAAGAAAATTACCTTCTACTTAAGATCTCACACACTCATTATGGATGATTTGTTTTAGTAGAAACTGACCATAATACTGCAAACAAGGCTTTTGGTAGGCAATATCTATAATTATGCAAATATTAAATAACTGCTTCTGATAAGAACCTCTTCAGTATTGAAGCAATTCACCTTACAGGATACTTAAGGGCTGCTTTTTCATGCCTTGATGCACACAATGAATGCGAGCACTAGGAAAATCCAGTATTTTTCCAAAAGGTAATATTTTAAAATAAAAAAAAAAAACACCAAACAATTTCTGTATAGGTAACACACACATTTGGTTAAAAAAATCAAGGGCTACAAATGGGGGTGCAGTGAAATAGAAGTCTTCCCGGACCTCACTCTGATCTCTATCTCCCAGATTCCCTTCTCAGAATCAACTTTTGTTAATTTCTTGAATCTTTCCAGACCAATTCCCCATATTTACAAGCACACACACAAACTTTAGAAGGCTTAAAAATAGCTTGTTTCATCTCTAGCAAGCCTACAACAACTTAGTTTGAGCTTTGAAAATACGCTAGCAGGAAAAACAAGTGTAGGTTTTAGTGTACACTAAAAAGAAAAGCCAGATACTACATTGTTTCCACTGTTGGCTCTGCCTTCACCACAGAACCCTTTCCTGAAAGGTGCAACAGCTAAATCCTTCACCACAGTGGCCAGAGAGGGCAGTATGTACCAACGACAAAGGCAAAGGCAGAAAAGCTGCAAATCCCTTCAGGATTCAGGAGGACCAGCAATTCTGTCCTATCCAGCTCAGTTCCCTGAAGTTCCGCGGGTAAAGCTGTGTAACAGGGCTAACTGATTTCTCCTTAGGGGGCTACCCAAACGGACTGTCATGATGTTGATAACCATAAAGCAATCAGGACAATGAAGCAAATTTGGATAATGAGCACTATCAGAAAACCTACTGTGCATATTATGATTTATTTTGGAAGACTAAAACAGTCTTAATTTCCAAGGAATGGCTACATAAATTAGGATTTACAGATAGGAAAACTATACGAAATTAACATCAGAGTTTTAAATTTTAATTTAATGAAGGAATCACTAAGAATTCATGGGGTGATATGAAATATTCATTAGGTAGAAAGTCCTAAGTTACCTTAGTACCAACTGTACCTGTAAGTATACCGTCAGGTAAACATTTGAAATTAAACTGCTGAAATCTCAATGGTGAATTTAGGAAAATCTGGAAGGCAGGCAACTGTCCAGTTAAAATTAAAAGCAAAATTATACTGAATTTTCTAATAAACAAATTATAAAAAAGTGTTAATATGGAATGGGAAAAAAACACCCAACATTTGTCACTGTACAAATACCAGGATACAATGAGCTATATGTGACACTGCTAATACCTTAACTCCTTACCCAATATAAAAAAGAGAGTATTTCATAGCATTAACAACGTACAGCTATTCAGTTTTCAATTTAAATCAGTAGGGGAAAAGGGAAGCCCTTTTTTTGGTGGTGGTGTTTCCTTTCCTCTGACGACTGAAAAAAGGATTTATTCAGTCCGAGTTTCGGAAGCAACTTTGTATCACAACCTTAATTATCTATGCATATAAATTTCAGTCTAAAATAACACCTCCAGGAAAATGCAAAGCAGCTAGAGCCTGTTTGGGAGCTTTGTGCACTTGGCAAGCCCACCGTTTCAATTCCCGGTACAACAAATCAGAATGAACCACACACCAGCGGCACGGTATTCCGAGGTCCCGGGAAGCGCCGGGGCGCGGCCGCGAGCAGCGGGCTCCGGGCCGGGCCGGGCCGGGTCGCGGCGCCCGCAGTGGTGCCGCAGCCTCCGCGGCCGCAGCAGGTGGGACCCGGTCCGGCCCGCAGGCCGTTCCGCCACCCGCCAGCGCGGGGCTTTTCCAGAGCTGCTCCGCGACGCCTCGGCTGGGGCTCTTATTGTTCGCGTGGAATGACTTTCTGTCATGAAATGCTGAAAAAGACCGGCCTGAGCCCCACTTACACGAACCCCACAACTTTGCGAAGCGATGCGCGGTTGTAAGAGGCGCGAGGACACGGCTCGGAGGGCTCCGCCCGGCCGCTGCTTCCCGTTCTACCGCGCGTTCCCACCAGTGCCCCCCGGAGCCTGCCAGACACGCAGAGGGCTGGGGGAGAGGCGCCTGGAGAGCAAGTCAATCAGGGTGGGCGCCAGAGCTCCGCGGTGCGCGCGGACCAGACAAAGAGGCGCGCCGGGCGCCCGGCGCCGGGGAGGGACGCGAAGACGCCGGCCTCGGCCCGCAGGGGGCGCCGTCCGCGGCCCCCGGCGCTTACCTTTGAGGACCGCGCAGAGCTGCTCCAGGGCCATGTTCCCCAGCGGCCCGGCGCTTCGCGAGGGGCCGAGGCGGCGGCGAGGCGGCGGCGGCGGCGGCGGCGGCGGCGCGGCGCTCACGGCCCGGCGCGGCGGCAGTCCCGCTCGGTCCCCATCGCCGGCCACCAGGCTGCCTCCCCGCGGGGCAGGGCTCAGGTCCTGCAGCCCGCCATGCCAGAGCCCCCCGGCGGGCTCCCGCGCTGCCCGAGCCCCCCGACGGGCGCCGCCTCCTGCTCCGCGGCGCTCCGTCCCATCGACCGCCCCGGAGCCGAGGCGCGCTGGCGCGAGGGACGACACCCGCACGGGCCGCTCCTCCTGCGGCCGCGGCGCGAGCCCCTCTGAAGTGGCGGGCGCGGGCCGCCCAGGCTCATTTAAGCAGGGAGCGCGAGCGCCGCGTGCCGGCCGCGCCGCCTGCGCGCATGTGCCCGCCCCCCGCCCCCGCCCCCGCCCCCGCCCGCGGGCCCCTCGCACCCTCCCGGCCAATCGCCGGGCGCGCCCGCCCGCGGCCGCGTGCCCCGGGAGGGCTGTGCGCCCGCGACCGTTGGCCTGAGGGCGGGGCGACGAGGTGCGGGGCGCCGCGGTCTCTACCCCTTGGGCGGCGAACCGCCGCTGCGAGAGGCGCGCGCTGAGGGCGAGTCCGGCCCCTCCCCCGCCGCTGCGGGGCGTCCGGGGTGAGCTGGTGCGAGCCCTCGAGGCCTCCGGCCCGGGGGGAGGGGCTGGGGGCCCCGCCGCCCACCCCGAACCCCGCCGCCTTGGCCCGCCGGCCCTTCTCCGCACGTCTTCGCAGAAAGACCGGGGGCACCGACCCTTCGGCCTCTTAGGACCTCGGTTCAAGGTCAGAACTCCGCCCGGCTTGCCTCTGCTTGATAACCTGCCTCGGGCAGGGGCGAGGATCTGGGCAGGGAGCTCAGGGACGGAGGGCGCCCGGGGTTCTCCCCTCCCCTTGGCGCCAGGTGAGTTAACCCGACGGCCGTGATGCTCCTAACATTTCCTAAAGGGTTGCCGGGCACAGTACCAAACACTTTGCCTATCATACTCTTTTTAGTCCTCAAACCCACCTCATGCCGTAGGTACTGTTACAGGATGGGCATAACGAGGCCAGAAAGGTTAAGTAGTTTGTCCACAGCCACAGAGCGAGGGAGGAAGGCAGGGTTGTGAACCCCGGGAAATCTGCCTCCAGAGAGTGCCCTCTTGTCCACCAAGCCGTGCTGATGGGGTCGCTTGACTCTGTTGATAAAAAACAAAAAGCCAAAAAAACAGACCCAAATTGGCAAACTGCATAATATTAATTATCCTGTTTTATTTTCTCCATAGTAGTCATCACGCTATCTAGCTCATCTACTTGTTTAATCACCGATGTCCCATTTACCCCTACACTGCTAAAATATGAGCTGCTTGTGAGCAGGAGGCTACATTCATAGAGTCACTCAACACATACTTATCGAGTGTTAACTATGTGCAGAAAACAATATGCCAGGGAATTAAGGCTGTGATTAAGGCTCTACCATAATCGAATATTTGTGTATCTGTATCTGACACATAATAGGAACTCCAGAAATACTTGTTAACAAATTATAGTTCAGGACAATATTAGACAACTGAAAAAACTTCCAGGGATGTCAACCTCTTCTCTCTTTCCTTCTGTCCCTCTATGAAAGGCACAAAAGTATTCAGGAAGTTTGCAAGTGAAAACGTATTTAACACCAATTAATAGCAACATATTTAGCCCTTTATCATGTGCTGTGGGCGGTATAAAAGATGTGTATGTGTTGGTTCCCAAGACAAATCACCTACAAATCACAATCACTTGTGAGATTGCACACAAGAACCACCTAGTAAATAAAACATTTGAGATCCTTTTCCACAAATATAAAGTGACATATTGGAAGACAAGGACAGTAGTAAGAGTATTAAATGTAAGTCACAGACAATGTGGACAAAAAGAATTAGGAGGAAGGAGCCCTCTCAACTTCCAGAACAGAAGCGGTTCTTAATGCATAGTTGTTGACTGAAGGAAGAATCAGTGCCTGTGATGTCGTTAGAGAATGCTTCATGGAGGAGGTGACCCACAAAGAATGGGAAGGCTATGGATGGCAAATGGAGAGGACAGAAGGCAGAAGAGCTTTCAAGTCAGGCAAGGAGCAAGGCTTAGTGTTGCATTTGGGGCAAGTTTTGTGTCTGGTAGTGAAGATAGAATATGGTGGGCTTTGATGGTGGAGACGCCTACTTAAATGCTAGGCAGAAGGGTTTGTGCTTGATTCAGGAAGCCAGAGGCATAGTTTTTAATAGTGGAGTGATGGAGCTCTGGAGAAACTAATCTGTCAGTTCAGCTGAGGATATAGTGAAAGGAGGGAGGGGATTAGAGCAACTGTAGTAATTTAAAAAGTATATACACAGGACTGTCATTTGGCCTAGGAGCCCTTACTGGTCGGACTATTTTGATGAAACCTAAAAAGGTTTTTTTTCCTCTAGGATATTGGCTGGGATGTAGATTCCCAAGGAATAGATGGGGAATGCTCAATTTTGGCTCCCTCTTAAGACACCTATCTTTTGGCTGTGTTAGTATAATTGTCTGTAGAAGATTTCTCAAGGAATGTGATAAAGCACAGATCATAGCCGGGACTACTGTGTGGCCATATGTTAATGCAATCAAAAGGAAAGCACTTTGCATATCTCTCAGTTGGAGAGTTCTGTATTTGAATTATTATTTCCCCGCAAGACCACCCTGTAGCACTCAAGTCTGTTCCCAGGTTACCTGCCAGTTCTCAGGTGACTGGGGACTCTGTTTTTGTTGCATTCCACCTGGTCCTTCAAGGCGTAGTTATAGCCTCTCCCAACTCCTCACAGAATCATTCCTATAGTTTAAATTTGCTTTTCTCCTACCAAATTCCCTGTAGCACTTGAATGGTATGTAGCGTTGACTTACTATGAGAATGAATCATTTAAAAAAATACAGCATTTTATCTCAATGTTTATATACTGAACAGCTTTTTGTTGTCTCTCTTTTCCACTAGAGGTAGGGAGCTCTAACATTTTATTAAATGATAGCCTAGGAAGCCAGGTTGTTATGTGTAGAGATTTTTATAAAGGACTGAATATTTGTTTCCCTTAGAATTCATAAGTTGGAGTACCTAACATCTGGGACTGTATTTGGAGATGGGACTTCTAAGGTCAAATGAGGGTGGGGCCCTGATCTGATGGGATTGGTGTTTTTATAAGAAGAAACACCAGATGGGCACCTGGGTGGCTCAGTCGGTTGAGCGACTGCCTTTGGCTCAGGTCATGATCCCAGGGTCCTGGGATCGAGTCCCGCATCAGGCTCCCTGCTCTGCGGGGAGCCTGCTTCTCCCTCTCTCACCCCTCCGCTTGTGTTCCCTCTCTCGCTGTGTCTCTCTCTGTCAAATAAATAAATAAAATCTTTAAAAAAAAAAAAAAGAAACACCAGAGAGAGCGACCCTCTCCTTGACCTTCCAGTACAGAGGAAATGCCCTGGGAGGACATAATGAAGGTAGCAATCAGCAAGCCAGGAAGAGTTCTCACCAGAAGCCAGATTGGCTGGAGCCTTGATATGGGACTTCCAGCCTCCAGAGCTGTGAGAAAATAAATGTTGCTTAAGCCCCCCAGTCTATGACATTTTGTTGTGGAAGCCTGAGCAGATTCATACAGAGCTATGATTAAGGAAGACAGAGGAATTTACACATAACAAGCTAATGTATGGAAAATCTATTTTGTACTGAAGTAACATAGGGGTCTCACACCGCTTTTCTTACAGTGTGTGGATACGGCAATGATGATGGCAAAATGTAATGAAAAGCGGTATCATATAGATTTCATTATTATACAACTGTAGAGTTTTTTAGGGAAAGAAAAGAGGAAACAAAAAAATTTTAACTCGTATTCATCTGCTTGGGCTGCCATAACAAAATACCACAGACTGGGGGCCTTAAACAATAGGAACATATTTTCTCATAGTTTTGGAGGCTAGAAGTCCAAGATTAAGGCGTACATAGGATTGGCTTCTGGTGAGACTTCTTTTCCTGGCCTGTAGACTGCAGACTTCTTGCTGTGTCTTCACATGGCCCATCCTCTGTGCACTGCAAACTTCATGTCTGTTCCCGTTAGAAGGACACCACTCAGATTGCATTAAGGTCCCACCCTTATGACCTCATTTGACCTTAATTACATCCTCAAAAGCCCAGTCTTCACATACAGTCACATTGAGGGTTAGAGCTTCAATATATGAATTTAGAGGGTGGGGGACAAAATTCAGCCCCTGTACTCACACACTCATGAACCAAAATTATTCCTGTGTTAATGATTTTGAAGAAGAGCTGCTTCCAGGGAGTCGAAATCAGTTCTTTCAGTAACACTGTCACCTACACTTGTTTCTAAATTTCTGCTTAGTGTAATTCCAAGGCAAGAAAGTTTTTAAGAAATACTGCCTACCACCGGTACTAAAGTATTTCAACTTTATCAGGAAAATTTCTGATCATCCAGGTACTTTCTTTGATTGTGAAAAACTAAGAAAGGTCCTAATGATATTTCTTAGAATAACATTACTAACTTATATGGTATCATTTTCTTTTTCTTTCTTTCTTTTTTTTTGAGGTGGGGAGAGGTAGAGGTAGAGGGAGAGAGTCTTAATCAGGCTCCACACCCAGCGTGGAGCCCAACTCGGAGCTTGATCTCATGACTCTGAAATGATGACCTGAGCCAAAATCAAGAATCAGCACTTAACCCACTGAGCCACCCAGAAGCCCTTGGTATCATTTTCTTAAAAGCCAAAATCCCATTTTGAAATCTCTGTTTACTTTATGCTTAAGCCTGTTTACTGCAAGCTGAAATGAATGCTATTTTATTTGTACAACATGAAACCATAATATTAAACTATAAAACTCTTCATATAGTTATTTGGTAATGTTTGCTAGATAAAAGAACTTTCTTAAATGTTCAACTTAACGGCTTGATGGACTGAATATTTGTGCTGCTTGATATCCTATGCTATTAATGTTAGTGTGATTAGAATGCATATATATTCAACTATATATTGGTGTTTTTCAATTTTCATTTTTGTAAGGAAGTTGTATCTAAATTATTGCAATTATTAGCAACAAATCTCAAACTGGGGTGCCTGGGTGGCTCAGTCGTTAAGCATCTGCCTTCAGCCCAGGTCATGATCCCAGAGTCCTGGGATCAAGCCCCGCATCGGGCTCCCTTGCTCAGTGGGAAGCCTGCTTCTCCCTCTCCCACTCCCCCTGCTTGTGTTCCCTCTCTTGCTGTCTCTCTCTCTGTCAAAATAAATAAATAAAATATTAAAAAAAAACACAAACAAATCTCAGACTATTTTTTATGCTGTAAAAATATATAGGATTTGTAATGAAACATATTTCTAGATATGTGAT